CCGGGGACAAACTGCAACCGAGGTACGTGCCCTTAGCGGGAACCGAACCCGGGTCTCTCAGGACCGCAGGCCCACGCTCTAACCGCTGAGCCAAACCGGCCAGGGCCCAAGGACATTCTTGCATCTATCTTCAGGTAGAGCGGGAGGAAGAGAGAGAGAGAGAAACATCGATGTGAGAGACACACACACACAACCCCAACCGGGGCCAGGGACAAACTGCAACTGAGGTACATGCCCTTAGCGGGAACTGAACCCAGATCTCTCTGATCTGCAGGCCGATGCTCTAACTGCTGAGCTAAACCAGCCAGGGTTCTCATCGATGTTTCTATCTCTCTCTCCCTCTTCCTTCTGCGCTCTCTAGAAAATCAATAAAGAAAAAAACTTGATAAATGGTACTCATGAAAATTCAAAATTTTTGCTCTGATAGAAACCCTGTTAGTGGTTGAAAAGACAAGCTCCAGACTGGAAGAAAATATAGATAAACCACATATTTGACCAGCGACTCATGTATAGAACATCTAGAGTTCTCAAAACTCAACTTTAAAAGAAAACCAGTTCAGTTAGAAAATGGGCAAGAGACTGGCCGGTTTGGCTCGGCGGGTAGAGCGTCGGCCTGCGGTCCAGAGAGACCCGGGTTCGGTTCCCACTAAGGGCGTGTACCTCAGTTGCAGTTTGTCCCTGGCCCTGGTTGGTCGTCTAGGTGGCAGCCACTCGATGTGTCCCTTTCACGTCAATGTTTCTCTCTCTCTCTCTTCCTCCTGCTCTATCTGAACAAAAAATGAAAAAATGTTCTCGGGTGAGTATAAATAAATAAATAAATAAAAGAAAATGGGCAAAAGATACAAAGAGACATGTCACTGAATAGTATATATAAATGACAAATAAGCACATGAAAAAATTTAGCTTCATTAATCTTTTTTTTTTTTTATCCTCACCCGAGGATATTTTTCCATTTTTTGTACAGATAGAGTGGGAGGGAGAGAGAGGAAGGGGGAGAGAGTGAGAAACATCGACGTGAAGGGACACATCGAGTGGCTGCCACCCACACGACCAACCAGGGCCAGGGACAAACTGCAACCGAAGTACGTGCCCCCAGCGGGAACCGAACCCGGGTCTCTCCGGACCGCAGGCCGACGCTCTAACCGCTGAGCCAAACTGGCCAGGGCAGCTTCATTAATCTTTAAGGAAATGCAAATGAAAAGTATGATGAGTTATCACCACACACCTATTAGAATAGGAAAGGTATCCATAATAACAAATAAATACTGGCCTGGGTATGAAAAAAAGGGAATTCTCCATACATTGCTGGTGTGAATATTAAATCGTAAAGCCACTTAAGAAAATAATTTGGTGCCCTGGCCGGTTTGGCTCAGTGGTTGAAGCATTGGCCTGTGGACCAGAGAGTCCTGGGTTCGGCTCCCACTAGGGGCACATACCAAAAAAAAAAAAAAGAAAAGAATTTGGCTGTTTCTTAAAAAGCTACACATACAATACAGTACTTTTAATAGCTTCATATTTTAAGGCCATTAAGTTATATTTTGCTATGTTGATGGAGTAACATGGCCTATGAAAACTTTGAATTGAACAGAATAGAAAATTGCCTTTTATTTCTCTAAGTCTGTAGTAAGTTTAGAATAAAGGATTAGGGACTGTAATGGGAAATACTAATAAGAATTATAGCTTTGATACAGGAAAAAGTAAGGGGTCTGCAGAAAGATATGCCAACAGAAAATACTTTCACAGATTCCTTAATAATTTTAAAGATTTCACTATCAGTATGACTATATCTTAGTGAAATCTTAAAGCTGTAATTTATAGTGAGTAAGTATAGAAGTAGGGCTGAAAATGTAGGTAGAGTATGGTTTAAAGTTTCAGACAAAATCACTGATGTTATACATTTGTCACTTTTATGTCCTATTGTAATATGGTTGACTTTTTAGGACATCCTTTTGAGTCTGGGGCAAGAAGTTCAGTATGTACTGAAGGAACACCTTAGAAACCATTTTTAAGATGGTTGTCATGTTGCATATCATTAATATATTTTGTAACTATGTTTGAAGTTTTCAAACAAATAATTTTTCAGAAAATTGATTATTTCCCATTTTCTAGGAAGGTAATATAATTCTGGTGTCCAATTTGAACTTGAGTTCCTAGTATGCTACCTTCTAGCTGAGTGGCCTTTTGTAAATTGTTTATCATCTTTAAGCTTAACTTGATAGAGTTGTTAATGAGGAATAAATGACATAATTTTTATTTTGTATTTTTTATTTATTTTTTAATCCTCATCCGAGGACATTTTTCCATTTTTTGTACAGATAGAGTAGGAAGGAGAGAGAGGAAGAGAGAGAGAGGGAAACATCGATGTGAAAGGGACACATCGAGTGGCTGCCACCCGCACGACCAATCAGGGCCGGGGACAAACTGCAACCGAGGTACATGCCCTTAGCGAGAACCGAACCCGGGTCTCTCCGGACCGCAGGCGGACGCTCTAACCGCTGAGCCAAACCGGCCAGGGCAATGACATAATTTTTAGTGGTTGGTGAACACAATGCCTGATATACAATAAGCACTCAAAAGCTGTTCATCATTTATTACTAGCCGGAGGAAGAGTCCTTTCAGAGTCAACAGCATACAAATGTAGTCCTATATATCATGTGATTCTAGAGATGTTTGTTAATGAATGCTCTGGAAGTATAGCCAGTCAGCAAGCTATTCTGATGACATGAATATAGTTTGGGTGATGGCTGGCAAATATTTGGAGGTGAGGTGTCAAACTTCAGTAATTAGCCATTTTCCCATCTTACCCTGTTCTCAGCAGCTGCTGTAGTGTGAAATATTGGCAGAGATTCTTTTGGAGATACTGCTGGGTGATGCTGGGCCAAATTTAGGTTTCGTTACCTGGTGAGAACTGAGAATCATCCTTTGATTCTTCCCTTCTCTCTATATACATCAGTTGGTCACTTAAGTGATGCTGATTTTTTTTTTTTAATTGCTCTTCTCTTAATATTAATTTGACTCACATCTTCATCTTGCCTGCCACTGCTACAAGATCATTGTTTCTCATCACAGTTAACTGTGAAAGCTTCCTATCTAGTTGGGATTCTGGCCTGCCAGTCATCCTAGAGGGTAGCTTTCTAAGATGCAGGCTTGATTATGTCAGCAGGGTTAAGAGTTGTAACTATGGAATCAAATTTTCTGGGTTTGTATCCCATCTCTGCCTTGTATGATCCTGCACAAATTCTTTGTCCCTCAGTTTCTTTGTTTATTATTTGTTTATTTTAAATCCTCACCCTGAGGATATTTTCCTATTTATCTTCAGATAGAGTGGGAGGAAGGGAGGGAGACAAAGAGAAACATCCGTGTGAGAGAGACACATCAACTAGCTGCCTCCTCCCCCCCCCCCCCCCCAGGGCCAGGGACTGAACCGCAAACAAGGTACATGCCCTTGGCCGGAATCGAACCTGAGACTCATTGGTCCGCAGGCTGGCACTCTAACCACTGAGCAACCCCCTGCACAGATCTACCTTTAGGTTTTTTATTCTTTATGCCTGATATGCAAATCCCCTTTGCCCAGCTACCTCTAGTACTTGGTTCCAGGCTTGTCTGCTGGGAAGCATCAGACTTCTCATTCTGAATTTGGTTTTACCATCCATGTACCAGTTCAGTATTTTATGATCTTCCTCAGGTACACTTTCTACAGTATAAGATAAAAAGGATATTTCAACTCTGGCCAACAATTTATAAAAGCATTAAATTTCTTTACTTTATCCACGTAGCACTTTGCACTGCCTAGTTTACTAGTTTGCTGTCTGTCTCTTCTGCTAAGCTCCTTGAGGACAAATGCTATATCCTCAATGTCTTCTATATAAATATAATTTAAAAATTATATTTATCGCCCTGGCCAGTTTGGCTCAGCGGTTAGAGCGTTGGCCTGCGGTCCTGAGAGACCCGGGTTCGGTTCCCGGTAAGGCACGTACTTCGGTTGCAGTTTGTCCCCGGCCCTGGTTGGTCGTGCGGGTGGCAGCCACTCGATGTGTCCCTTCACATCGATGTTTCTCTCTCTGTCTCTTTTTCTCTCTCCCTCTCGCTCTATCTGAACAAAAAATGGAAAAATATATATATATATTTATCATATAGTTAAAAGTTATTCTCTTAAAAAATTCTCTTTACTGAAATGAAGCCCTTTTACAACAAAGCATCTATCAGTGTGGGCTATGTTGCATGAGGTTTTAATGTTTCTACTGTATTATTTATTTGGATTCATCTACCTTTTCTACCATATATCTATATATAGTCAGATATTTTTCCATTAATTTTTCCATTTATCTAGTACCAAAGCTAATAACAAAGAATATGTTTGAAATATACTTACTCAAAGTCTTGCCTTTTTTCTCCTATTTCTTCTTCCCCTTTTTCCATTAAAAAGGGGATATTTTAATAGAAATATTTTTCCGTTAATTTTTAGACTGAATGGAAGGGGGTGTGGGGAGACAAAGAAAGAGAAACATCGACGTGAGAGAGAGACAGACACATCGATAGCCTCCAGCACAACCCCAACCAGGGCTGGGTATCGAAACTGAAATCCAGTTCGTGCCCTTGAATGGGAATTGAACCCATGAGCCTGTGGTAAGTGGGCTGACGCTCTAACTGCTGAGCCAAACCAGCCAGGGCTAAAATCTCTCTCTCATAAATAATTCCAGATACACACAAAAAAACTTTGGTATCAAATAACTTAATTTCCATTTCTTGATTACCCTGAGCGCTTCATTATATAGCTTTTTCTGATTTGAATGTAATTCAAACTGTTGAAGCAGATGCAGTGAGGCTGGTAAGTAGATATAACTAAAATGTTATCATGAGTTTGCCAAATGATTTTTCTCAGTGGGCTGCTAATGCATGATAAAGGCTAAAATAATTTTTTAAAAAGTTTCTTTGTAGGTGAATGTGCTAGATGATTTTGCTCTCGAGTAACATTTAGATCTTCTTTGTTTTCATTTAAGTGCCAAGGATGACATTGATCTTGATGCCTTGGCTGCAGAAATAGAAGGAGCTGGTGCTGCCAAGGAACAGGAGCCTCAAAAGTCCAAGGGGAAGAAGAAAAAGGAGAAAAAAAGGCAAGACTTTGAGTAAGTATATTTCAAACATATTTCTTTGTTATTAGCTTTGATACTAGATTCACTTATTAAGCTAATTCAATGCCTCAAATATATTTTAATCTTTTCTAGTGAAGATGATATTCTGAAAGAACTGGAAGAATTGTCTTGGGAGGCTCAAGGCATCAAAGCTGACAGAGAAAGTGCTGCAGTAAAGGTGAAAGATGGTTGTTATCGAGCTGTGCTTTCCAGTGCCAGTTTTAGGGAACTGCTTTTGGAAACTTTTGGGCAGTGTGTGTGTGTAGAGTTTAAGTTTTTTATAAATTCTGATGCCAACAGGGGAAATCAAGTTTTAGGAAAGAAAAAATGTCTTTTAACACCTTTACAGATAGAAAGATGCTTTATTTGGTATTTAGAAGGTATTTTGCCTGTTCATAAAATTGGTATATTTGGAGAGGTAACATTTCTGTCCCCACCTTCAGTTTTTTTATTGTTTCCTTTTCATCCTTTGAATTTGGAGAAGCCTCAAAGTAATGGGAATGTGATAGGTATTTTTTTGTATTTCAGTTCCCCTCTTAGACTGTGCCATTTGAAGAAACTGGTAAATGTGGACTGTGATTAGTGCTGGCTTAAGCACCTGGATTCTGACATTCACTGTGAATGTGAGATGTGCCTGAGGCCCAGGCTAGTTTCTGGTACTTGGCTGAGGTTCATATCCTTATAAAAAGGACCTTATTTTGATAATTTCTTCCATGTGTACTTAATGAAGTATGTGGCTCTGAGGAGTCTCATTTATTTTAAAACAAAATATAACTCTGTTAATATTTCTAACAATGGAAATTTTTTTAGCCAACAGACAATAATGAAGAAGAACCCACCTCAAAGCAAGATAAAAAAAAGAAAGGACAGAAAGGCAAAAAACAAAGTTTTGATGATAATGATAGTGAAGAATTAGAAGATAAGGATTCCAAATCAAAAAAGACTGCAAAACTGAAAGTGGAAATGTACTCTGGGAGTGATGATGATGATGATTTTAAAAAACTTTCTCAAAAAGCTAAAGGGAAAGCTCAAAAATCAAATAAAAGGTTGGATGGGTCAGAAGAGGATGAGGATAACAGTAAGAGAATTAAAGATCGTTCCAGAGTAAATTCTTCAGGGGAAAGTGATGCTGAATCAGATGAATTTTTGCAGTCTAGAAAAGGACAGAAAAAAAATCAGAAGAATAAGCCATGTTCTACTGTAGAGAGTGGGAATGAAGATGAAGACTCCTCTTTCAAAATTAAGACAGTGGCCCAAAAGAAGGCAGAAAAGAAAGAGCGAGAAAGAAAAAAGCGAGACGAAGAAAAGGCAAAAGTACGGAAGCTGAAAGAAAAAGAAGAATTGGAAACTGGTAAAAAGGATCAGAGTAAACAAAAAGAACCCCCCAAAAAATCTGAAGAGGAAACTGTAAAATCCAAGACGACTTTTGATACTGGAGCAGCCCCTGCCTCTGACGAGAAAGGAGAGGTACCCATAGCCGTCGAAGGTTGGTAAAATTATATTTAGTATAAGATTTGATCATTATGCCCCAAAGTCATTTTCTTGTTTGTCCTTTGTTATAAAGATGCTTAATTGTAAGAAAGCCTTTTAAAAACTATATCTATGTACTCTTTAACTTGATGTTTATTGTTAAACATTTATATATAATATAAAATGTCTTTCAAGTGGTTTGTGCACAGACTAGAATTTTTATAGAATTTCACTGTTAAAAAAAAATTTTTGTTGTTGATGAAGAGTGGAATTTGCCTAATGAAAATTTATTCTTGCCTAGTGAAAATTTATTTTTCCCCTTGATAACTGAGTTTCAGATAATATCTGAATTCTTTCTTGTTTCTATATGTTTTTAAAATATGTTTTTATTGATTATAAAGATAGGAAGAAAGAGGGAGAGAGAGAAACATTGATGTGGGAAAGAAACATTGACTGGCTGCCTTCTGCACGCCCCCTACTAGGGATTGAACCTGCAACCCGAGCATGTGCCCTGATTAGGTGACCTTTCAGTGATGGGACACACTCAGCCAACTGAGCCACACCAGCTAGGGTTTGTTCCTATTTTTAAAAATCTAATTCAACCTGTGAAATAGAAAAGTAAAAACATGCTAAAGTTAGTTAACATCTTTTAAGCAATAGTGGTGGACCACTCTTTGATACCAGAACTAATTAACAAAATATAAGCTTTCTAGTTAAATTTCCTCCTCTTAGTTGGAATGAAAATAGTAAAGATCAGATGATTCACATAGTTTTGATTTAGACTAATAAAACTTTTAATGAGAAAATTGACAGCTATTTTAATCACTTGAAATATTATCTGGACATATATGAAGAGAAATGCCCTGAAAGTAGCTTTATAATCTAGTTTTTTTTTTCAGCATGGTAGTGTAGAATTCTTAGAATATAATTACATATATATATATATTTTTAAAATTCTCACCCGAGAACATTTTTCCACTTTCTGTTCAGATAGAGTGGGGGGGGGGGGGGGAGAGAGAGAGAGAGAGAGAAACATCGACGTAGAAGGGACACATCGAGTGGCTGCCATCCACACAACCCAACCAGGGCCGGGGACAAACTGCAACCGAGGCACGTGCCCTCAGCGGGAACCGAACCCTGGTCTCTCTGGTCCGCAGGCCAATGCTCTAACCGCTGAGCCAAACCAGCCAGGGCTAATTACCTATATTTTTATATTTTATCCTTCTAATATCTTAAGATTGGCATCATTCATATTATTCCCATCTTATAGTAGCAAAACTAGCTACAGAATTGAGGCAGGAATTCAGACACTATGTATTAAGAGCTACATTAGATACAGTATATTTTTTCCTGCTGATAAGGTCCTCCTGTCTTCTAGCATCCCTCAGGACAACTCAGAGCAACACCAGCATTGTAGGCTTCTAAGTAAGCTACCTTAGTTGTTCTAAGTTGTTCTAGGTGCTCAGGTTCTCCTATGCTTTTCGGGATGCCTTGAGGCCTAGAGATTCTAGCATGCTGCTGGTATCAACTTTGGCCCTTTATGGTCCTAGAAATCTGGGGTTGGTTTATCATTGCCTTAGGAAACTTATTTTAAAAACACTTTGCCTCCATTCTTTTTTTGATAGATGACAATGAAGGAGACAAAAAGAAAAAAGATAAGAAGAAAAAGAAAATAGAAAAGGAGGACAAAGAGAAAGAGAAGAAAAAAGGACCTAGCAAAGCCACAGTTAAAGCTATGCAGGAAGCTCTGGCTAAGCTTAAGGAAGAAGAAGAGAGACAGAAGCGAGAAGAGGAAGAGCGAATAAAGCGGCTGGAAGAATTGGAAGCCAAGCGTAAAGAAGAGGTATGTTTGCATGAAGTTGCTGACATTGACATTGTGTTTAATTTAAAAATCTCTTCACTATGCAATATCTCTAACCTTCTAAAATCTTGTCCTGATATAAATAATAATATGAAGAGGTACAGAAGATTTTATCTACCTCTGTTTCCTGAGGTACAGGCAGACTTTGCTTACATATCATTGCCAACATAGTCTATTATCATGTGATATTAAATTATGTACACCATTTTAAATATTTCCATTTGGAACCACCTAACATAATACTTTGCATGTATCTCAAAAGCTTTGTTTGAAGTTTGGGTTGTTTTCATTTAAATTTTATAATTGATTAAGCTAGTACAATTTTTGTCTGATACATATTCTTCTGTAGGAAAGATTGGAACAAGAAAAAAGAGAAAAGAAGAAGCAAAAAGAAAAAGAAAGAAAAGAACGCTTGAAAAAAGAAGGGAAACTTTTAACTAAATCTCAGAGAGAAGCCAGAGCCAGAGCTGAAGCTACCCTTAAACTTCTACAAGCTCAGGGTAAGTAGTAGTATTTTTAAAATATATTTTATTGATTTTTATTTTTTTTAAGAGAGGAAGGGAGAGAGAAACATCCATTAACTGCCTCCTGCATGTGCCCTGACTGGGAATTCACAGGCCCTCTCAGTGTATGTGACAATGCTCAATCCAATGAGCCACACCGGACCAGGATAAGTAGTGATTTTAATTAACTGAAGAGTATAATGCTTCTCTCATTCAGTTATATCTTTATAATGGTCAAAAGGAGAATTAAATTGTACCAGAACAATTCCTGTTAAAATGCTGTGCAAAAGTCCAATAGTGATAGGTGATATAATTTTGTTACTTAGGGAGATGACTTCTATACTATGTTAAAATTTTGTTTTTAATTTTTAATTTATTTATCTATTTTTATCCTCACTCGAGGACATTTTTGCATTTATCTTCAGATAGAGTGGGAGGGAAAGAAGGGGGAAGAGAGAGAGAGAGAAACGTCCTTGTGAGAGAGAAACCTCAAGTGGCTGTGACCCAAATGACCCCAACTGGGGCCGGGGACAAACTGCAACCGAGGTACATGCCCTTAGTGGGAACCGAACCCGGGACTCTCTGGTCTGTGGGCCTACACTCTAACCACTGAACAAAACTGTCCAGAGCACTACGTTAAAATTTTATGTGTAAGTGATAGTATGTCTATAAAAAGTTTTTTTTGTCCCTCAGAATAAATGAAAATAGAGAATATAGTGAAATGAGCTGCCACTGACCCATCACTCAGTTTAAACAGTTATCAGTATATACCGTTTTTGTTTTGTCTTCTACCCACTTTTTTTTTTCCTGGAGTATTTTAAAGTAAATTTCAGATACCATATTATTTTACTCATATTTTACATTAGTATGTATTTCTAACAGATAAGGACATTTTACTTTTTAATAGTAGAGTATGTATTACATCTAACAATTCCTTGATGCCATCTGATTTTCTGTTCATTTACAGTTTTTTTCCACTTGTCTCCAAATGTCTTTCAAATCAGGATCCAGAGTAGAGCCACACATTGCATTTAGTTGATAGGTCTGTCACTGGTATCACTACCACCTGTTTTGGGTGTGCCATTTGTTTGTTGAAGAGACTGGATTATTCTCTAGAATTTCTCATAGTCTAGATTTGTCTAATTGTATTTGCCTGGTGTTGGCTAGTATACTTCTCTATCCTTTGTAATTTCTTTTTTTTTTTTTTAAATTTTTTTTATCCTCACCTGAGGACATTTTTTTTGCATTTATCTTAGACAAAGTGGGAGGGAGAGAGGGGGAGAGAGAGAGAGAGAAACATTGATATGAGAGAGACACATCGACTTGTTGCCACCTACATGACACCAACCAGGGCCGGGTACAAACTGCAACCAATGTATGTGCCCTTAGCAGGAATTGAACCTGGGACTCTTCTGTCCATGGGCCAACGCTCTAACCACTGAGCAAAACCGGCCAAGGCTAAAATTTTTTTATTTACAATTTATTATTTCAGGTCTATAAACTATTTATTTATTAAGAGAGGAGGGGGGGAGAGAGAAGCAGAGATGGAGAAACAGAAACATCGATTAGTTGCCTCCTGTATGTGTCCAGACCAGGGATCAAACCTACAACCTGGGTATGTGTCCTGACCAGGAATTGAACCCGCCATCTTTTGGTGCACTGGATGACACTCCAGCTAACTGAGCCACACCACTCAGGGCTATCCCTTGTAATTTCTTAGATCTAGCAGCTTGGCTACTTCCTAGTGGTGCTCTGCACTTCCTGTTGCCTCTTGTCAGGAGGCATCTAATCTGGTTTTCTCACTTCTAATGATGTCAGCATTAGAGACACATCAGGAGAGACACATCGATTGGTTGCCTCTCTACACACCCCAAGCGGGAATCGAACTTGCAACCTAGGTATGTGCCCTGACCTGGGAATGGAGCCTGAGACCCCGTGGATGACATTCCAACCAATTGAGCCATACAGCCAGGGCTCCATTGACTTTTCACCTAATAATTTTAATGTTCAATTAGTGATCATTGCCTATATCCTGTATTTTATTAGGAATTGCAAAATTGTGATATTCTATCATTCCATCTGCCTTTATTAGCTAGATTTTTCTCTAAAGAAAAATTCACCTGAAATACAATTTCATGCAGGAAAATCAGGATAGATTCTTAATTCTTTCCCTTTTTGAAATTAATTTTTAAAATAATAACTTGATGTCCAAGCAACATGTTATTTTGGATGTGTATCATTTTATTTTAATGGAGATGTATTTATTTATTTATATTAATGCCTTTATTTTTTTCACCCAGCCCCCCAATCCTCTTCCCTTCTGACAGCTGTCAGAATTTATTTTAGTGTTTTATGTAATTGATATATTTTCATCTCATGAAGTCATTTATGGTTTTTGTTTTTTTAATCCTTACCCAAGGACATACTTGGATAGAGGGAGAGAGAGACAGACATTCTTGTGAGTGAGAAATGTGCCCCGACAGAGAGCAAACCCACAGCCCAGTTATGTCCCCTGACTGGGAATTGAACCAGCAACCTTTTGGTGCGCAGGATGGATGAAGCTCAACCAAATGAGCCACTCTGGCTGGGCCATTTACATTTTTGATACTAAAATTGTACCATCTTTGGCCAGAGCAGGCCATTCAGGCTTGTCCCTGTGACTTTTTTATATACTCACCTTATTCTTTGACCTTTTCCTTGATTTTTCTAACACAGTGAGATATCTCAGGTTCATCTTGCACATTTTCTGCTCTAGACCTGGAATCAAATGAACTGTTTACCCAAGGAGCCTTGGTTCTTTTTAGCTTAGGGGTCACATCTGAACATACAATTATGTTTTTGACAGATGAAATGATTTAAAATAGTGTCTGCTGCATTGAGAAGAATATATCAGTACCTTCCTTAATTTTCTGTACCTACATTCCACAGATTTTTATATTACAGTGATGTTGATGTTATGCTTAATTACAGTAATAGCTAGCATTTATTACATATTTAGTATGCAACTAATGCTGTAATAAATTTTTCACTTTGTCTATTTCCTCATAGAAATTATACAGCTATTTTCATTCCATCATATAGATGAAGAAGTGGAGACTCAGAGCTTAAACTGCTTGCCCAAGGTCCTAGAGCTGAGATTTAAACTGATAGGCATGATTACCTCTTTATTCTGCATTATATACTCAGCTAGGAGCAGCACATTTAGAGAAACACAGTACTTAGATTTCAGAAATGTTTTTTCTTAATTAGGGATATGGCTTTTTAAAAAAATGAAATTAGAGCCCTGGCCAGTTTTGCTCAGTGGTTAGAGTATTGGCCCTCAGACTGAAGGGTCGTGGGTTCAATTCCCTGTCAAGGGCATATACCTGTGTTGCATATTCCATCCTGGGCCCTGGTCGAGGTTGTGTGGGAGGCAACCAGTCGATGTGTCTCTTCCACACTGATGTTTCTCTTTCTCCCTCCTTTCTACTCTATCTAAAAATCAAGAGAAAAATATCCTTGGGTGAGGATTAACAAAAAATAAAAGTGAAATTAGAGAACAAATTGTATAACTAGCACCCAAATATCAGATTTTTTGACTGTCCTGAAGAAATTAAGATGGGACCAAGAAGGGAGTAACTTTGCAGTCTTAGAAATGCTGTTTGATGGAGTAGTTTGATTTAAAATTATCAAATGAGATGAAAATTATAACTTAAAATGATGAATTTAGCATCAGTCTTTAGGACAGGCTTGGAAGAGATAATCTCTCAAGTGGTATCTACAGCCCTAGTCTCTTATTCTTCATAGTGTTGCCCAATGTTTGCCTTGTTATTGGTTCCTTATTGTCTATTAATAAAGAAGTCCAAACTCCTTAGCTTGACATTAAAGGCCTTACACTGTCCACTACAGTGTTCTGTCATGTTTTACTAGTTCTTTCAAAGCTACCTTGTTAGGTAAAGATTAGCTACCTCATTCATTACCTAGAATACTATAAAACTTATTTACTAAGCCTAAAATGTGTTCTTAGAGATTATAGGTACCTACAGATATTTTCAGGTAATTACTCAGAAATGTGTTGCAGGTTTCCTTTCTAAACTGTTTCTTAGGCTGTACCTGCTAAACACATAGCAAGTACTTTATAAATAATTTGGAATTCATTCACTTCAGGAAAAGAGCTTCTGCAAGAACTTAATTGTAGTGTCTTAGTTTGCAGGATGAATGGAATGTCTGAACACTCGTAAGACTTGGTTTTGATTACAAATACAACAGTTTACTAAAGCATTTCTAACTAGAGGAATAGAATAGTAAGTTAAGTCTGGGGTGTTGATGGGACTACCCTTCAGGTCATCCAGCTCACAGTTTCTCCAGGTCAATGCTTTCACTTACTGGTGTAGGCTGCTGAATAGGAAAAACCCAGGTCAACTTTATTATGTCCAAATTCTTAGCTGGTTTTACCCTGTTACTTTGGTTTGTTTAATATTTTTGTCTTATCAGAGTGATTGATGGCTCTAGTTTTATAATTCTAACCGGTCTCAGCATTTATGTACATACTTACATTCATATTTAAAGTGAAGAACATTTTAAGTGATTTTCCTTTTTAACAACTTCACTCAAAATCCCACAATAAACAGGTGTGGTTTTTTTTGTTTTTTTCCTGTTGCCTTATGAAATTTCTACCTTTAGTGAGAGACTGTGTCAGTACCCAGCAGAGGTAATTAGTTTGTTACAGGAATAGAGAGAGAGGATTGCAATAGAGAACCATTCCATTTGAAGCTCAATGCTTCTTCTGGGATTCATTATTCACTGTTGAAAGAAGACATAGTCTCCTAAGACTCAGTAATGTTACTTGCAAATCAGATTTGACATTTGCTCTGCCATGTCTTATTTTGACAAAATTTACTTGTTCTACTATTTTCATAGAAAATATTAAGACAAATGTTCAAAAGTAGATAAGAACCATGAATTCAAACAGAAACATTACTGACATGATACTTTATAATTATTTAAAAAACATTTTT